CACAGCAGTGAAAGTAACCGAAGGAGGAACACCTGAGCATATATAAGCCTGAGCTCCCACGGCGTGATCAATGTTGTCGCACGCGCGGCTGAGATCCACCTCGGCGCCTGCGTTGGCGGCGTCGCACGAATGTAACCAGCTGCTGATCGCGCGGGCGACGCTCGTCGCAAGCCGCCCTGCAGACTGGTTCTCTGGAGGCTGTGACACCCGAGCAGACAAGGCCGATAACCAAACTCTGACCATGACCGAGCCCATTGAAATTGGACGATAGGCAACTCCACCTTTGGGGATTCCCACGACACGCCGGGGAAATATCATGTCCAGCATGTCCTGGTCCAGGATGCCCTGGGCGTTGACGCACTCGCGGCTGGTGTCGCACCAGAGCTCGTGCAGCTGCAAAATCATCTCTGGGAAGAGGCGCCATGAAAGCTCGAGCTCCGCGGCCGCCCGCCCGTCTTGCCCAGGGGCGCCATGACATTTAGCAAGGGTATTGCCAAACTGTTCACAATTCGGCAGCCAGTGCTCCTCCTGCCTCGACTGGGGGAAGGGCGCATCAGCGGCCAATTGTTGCCATCGAGTAAAATGGCCAGCAGTATCATGTTGGGCAGGATCTGGGGCCCATTGCTGTTCCCACCCCTGGTGTATCTCCACTGCGTCCGCTGGGGCAGCCGGCGAGGGCGCCCTGGAGAGCGGGGTGTCAAGCTTGTGGATGTCCTTGGTCCAGCTGGCGAAACGCTATCGCCGCTCGCGAGACTGCGCATATTTAATGCGTAGCTGCTCCTGACAAGCGCCTGCCCTCAGCAATTCCAGGGCCTCGGCGCGGTTCGGGATTCCGTAGAGCGGCGCAGCCAGGAGCCCCTCCCAGCCAGCGCGCGCGAAACGTTCAAAGAGAGAACCAGCCAAATTCTGGAAAGCCAGAGTGGGGCCCTGCTTGATCCGCTCCGCCACCTGTCGGTGTGGGCGTAGTAGTCGACGATGAGCGATCGTCTGAGCGACGCGATGGGGGCGCCATGGCACGTCGGCGTCGTCGAAGGAGCCGAACCCTTGGCGCGCCAACCCTGCCGCTCCACGGAGGCGTAGTCGTATTCGGCGGCCAGCTTGAGCGCCAGCTCGGCGCGCGCGTGCCAGCGCTTCCAATTGGCGGCCAAAAGGGCCTGGTCATGATCGCCGAGAACAGGGTCGCCAAGTTCAGGCATCCGCGCATCCAGTTCTGCTCGAAGTGCATCCAGCTGGCGTTGGATGGCAGGGGAAGCTTTCAGCGCGTAGGGCGCCGCGTGGCGCAGTCGGCGTTGAGGACGATGGCGCATCGGCCCTTGCAGCGCGTGGAAGACCGCGCCGTGGAAGGGCCCCCCAGGGGGCGTCTTCGCAGCGACGCGCTTCGGCAGGTAGGGGGCGGGCGGCCCGTAGTGGAGACACCTCGCCGGAGTAGCACCTGCAGCGGTGGCGGCAAGCGACGCTGGACACATGACCCACCCAGGACTCATCATATAATTGCACCGCGTTTTCCAGTTCAGATCTCCGATGATATGCAAAGGGCAACCCTGAACGGCCAGATTCTGTGCGAAAAAGAATGGGCCCGTCCACCAAGCTGGGCCCTCTGTGACTCGCCCATGGACTGACGGGGAGACGCAGTTTGTCGCCCTGGTGCCCGCGGCCCTGTGGCCGAAGGAGGAGTCGCGGATGATCGAGATCTTCCCGACCGCGTTGGGCTTCCGCGCAATGGCGCGCCCTCCCTGGCGGACAGCGGCCGCGCGCGCAGGCGGTGGCGGCGGCGAACAGGCCACTGGCCAACCACGGCGCTTAAAACATTGTGGAACCCATCGGGGGCGCTCCTCCCGTTGACGACGTTCTTGGAGAAGTAGAGGAGAACTGCCAGAAGCATTCCGAAGGGCCTCCTCGAGGCGCGCCTTGGCAAGGGAGGTCGCATTCAAAGTGGCAGCAGTGGCGCTGATGTCAACAGGGTCACGCGGCTGCGTCTCTGGAGAGTCGCCGCTACCAACCCGTGGGTCTTCAGCAAGCGAAAGGTGTATTCGACGATGTTGAACTGGTCAAGCAGTGAAACATGTAGAGGCTAGTCAAGATGAGGACGTCGCCGCTGCAGGGCGCCCCCTGACCAAACGTGAAACTGGAGGAGGAAGTCCAGCACGTCGCAGCGCTGCACGCTTGCGCGCCCTGATCTTCCTCCTGCTGATCAGTTCGCGCGCCCTGGCCTGGGCCTTGTGGGCGGGGTCCTGTATGCGCTCTGCCTTCTTTTGCCGTTGCCGCTCCTTGCGTTCGGGCATGTGGCGGTGCTTGTGCATGATGGCGTCCCGGATCGCCTCCCTCCCCCTCCGCTCCCTACGACCGATGTGGAAGTCCATCAGCTGGGTCATGACTGCACTGGCGGCGGGGGCACTGATGCTGCTAGTGATGGTAATGGCGATGTTGGTGCTGATGCTGCCGGCAGGAATAATAGTGCTGATGTTGATGGTGATGATAATAGTGGTGGTTTTGGAGGGTGACGATGAGGATGGCGATGCTGATGTCGTTAGCTGTGCTGATGCTGCCGATAATTGCTCTGATGTCGGCGAAGGTGATAAAGCTGAGGTTGGCGATGCAGATGATGATGCTGATGTTGATGGTGGTGGTGATGGTGATGAAGATGATGGTGAGGGCGATGCACATGCTGATTATGGTGGCGATGGGGATGGTGATGACAGTGCGGTGGTGTTAATGGTGACACGGATGGCGATGATCAGGATGGTGCTGTTGATTGGGGTGATGTAGTTGGTGATGCTGATTTGGTTTTTGATGCCGAGGATGATGAAGATGATGGTGATGGTGATGGTAATGATGATGATGATGACGGTGCGAATGCTGATGATGATGATTGTTATGGTGATGGCTGTGGTGGTGATAGTGATGATGGTGACTGTGCTTATGATGACGGTGATGGTGCTGATGGTAATGGTCGTGGTGATAATGCTGTTGTCGATGATGCTGATGCGTATGATGGTGCTGTCTATGCGCAAATGCTTTTGACTGCGTTTTTGATGCTCATGATGATGGTGGTCTTGACGGTGGCGATGACTGGTGATGGTGATGACGGTGATGATGCCGATGGCGATGGCGATTGTGCTGATGGTACCGAGAATGATGATGCTGGCCTTGATGATGGTACTGATGACGATGCTGCTGCTGATAATGATGATGCTGCTTATGATGACGACTACGTTTCTGATGCGGCACGCTGAGGATGCCGAGGATGGCGATGCTAATGGTGCTTATGATGACGATGTCAGTGCTGACGGTGGTGATGGCTCAAGCCGCTCTGGGTTAAGCCGCTGGCTGCCAGGAGGCCATCCCCCTTGCTCTCAGACCACTTCCCCCCTCCCCCCCTCGGGCCGCGGATGTCGCAGGCGCCCGCGTGCAGCTCCGATGGTCTTCCCTGGGGCGGATCGTGCTATCGGAGCGCCAGGCGCCGGCTGCGGTCGGCCTGGCGGCTCTCCCGCGACGAGTGCGATGGCAAAGAGGCGGAGCGGGGTTTCGCTGATTCGAAGGCGCCCGAGCCCCCGGCGCAGAGACGCGCCAGCCAGACGCCCAGCGTGGACAGGCTCGACACGCTGCAGCCCCTCATCTCCGAGAAACTAGCCGTGATCCGCCTGCTGCTGCGGAGAAGGAGGACTGCCTCGATCCCGATGGGGGCATGGAAGCGGACGAAGTCTCCCCTGTTGCCGCGCAGAGTTGCGCTGATGCAGACCGAGCGGCTGGCGGGTGCACCGCGCGCGCCGCCTGCGACCGGCCCCCTCGCACATTCAGCGAACTAGCGGATTCCCCTGGAGCCTCAGCGGAGCCCCCCTGCATTCGGCGGCGGGGGCTCGCCGCCGGACGCCCTTCGAGCAGAAGCTTTTGGAGGCCGCGGCGGCTCCCGACGACGCGCGGTCCCAGATCATCTCGAACATCGACGATGTGGCAATCATGACCCCGAAGCTGGAGCCCGAGAAAGTGGCGCCCCCCGATGGAGGAGCTCGGCCCGACCCCCGCGCCGGCCGCCCGAGTGGCGGAGCCGACTGCGCCGGATTGGTCCCCGGGCCCTGCGGCTGCCCAGGGGCACCTGCACAATATTCTTTACTGCACGTTCCCCCTCGGAGGTGATGCATGCGTCGGGCGAGGTTGACCTGCTGGAGATGCGGTGCAGCGACCGCATCGTCCCCATCGGCTCCATGTCGACATGAAGCCGATGGGAAAGGAGGACCGTTCTTTCCAATGGCCGGTGACGGCTACGCCAACGGTGAGAGCGACGACTCAGACGTCGTCCGTGATTTCCACGGCTCCGTGGATGCCTAGCCCGGCGCTCAGCCCGGCTCCCAGCCCGGCCCCCGGCCCGGCTCCGAGCCCAGCTCCCAGCCTGGCTCCGAGCCCGGCGCCCTGTTCGGCCCCGTGCCCGGCGCCCTGCCCAGCTCGCAGCCTGGCGCCCAGCCCAGCGCACAGCCCGGCGCCCAGCCCGACGCGTTGCCAGGCCCCCAGCCATGCTCCGAGACCACTGACTCCCAGCTTGGTGCTCCGCCCAGGTCTTGCACTGGTAGAAGCCACATGGAGCCCAAAGGGCCGCCCCCCCCCCTTCCGGGCGGGCGCGTGTCCCGTGGCTGTCCCGCGGATGTCCCGTGTTTGTCCCGCGGTTGTCCCGTGGTTGTCCAGTGGTTGTCCCGATGGTTGTCCCGCGGTTGCCCCGATTGTTGCCCCGATGGTTGTCCCCATGGTTGTCCCCATGGTTGCCCCCCTGGTTGTCCCGATGATTGTCCCGGTGGTTGTCCCGATGGTTGTCCCGATGTTTAGTGGTTGTCCCGATGGTTGTCCCGATGGTTGACTCGATGGTTTTCACGATGGTTGCCCCGATGGGTGTCCCGGCGGGGTCTCGAAGGTTGTCCCGGATAGATGGATGCGCAGACGCAATTAGCACCGCCACCACCACCACCATCATTCCGAAGACATCTGTACTCAAGCCGCTTCGCCCTGCAGAGGGCTGCCAGCATCGACGCCGCAGCGGCATGTCGCCGTGGAGTGGCCGCGCCAACTCGCGGTGCCAGGCTCTGCCAGCGCCAGGCCATGCCCTGGCTCACGCCCTGTGAAGCAGCGCTACTCGTGCAGCGTGGTCTCCCGCGCTTGGTTCGCAGAGCTCAGCCCCGCCCACGCGATGGCGGGCGAGCAGCAGCTCCAAACTCTCAAGACAGTTCGGCGCGCGAGGCACGTCGACTGGAACACGTCGAAGCCCTCGCAGGGGAACATCGGTAAACGCGAGCAGGAGAGCATCTGCCTGGTCTGTTCAGAGCACGGCGACCCGATCAGGCCTTTCGAGTTTGAGGCGACTCGGAACCAGCACTCGAAGGACAGGAGCTTGCCATACACAGCGACGGCGATGTTCAAGGACCCGCCGCAGGACATGGATGCGGAGGCATGGCGGATTTCACGTGCAGCTGTAACAGGTAAGGAGCTGTTGCCAGAGGTCGCGCACCAGCGCGCGATGGACAGCTGGGCGCGGCTCGGCGGCGCGCCGGGCTCTGCCGGCGCATCTGCCTCGCAGGGCGCGTTGGCTGACGCGGTGGCCGCGCGGGGTGCCCAGGCCGCGCCGCAGGGGCCTGGGGAAGAGGGCGCGGGCGCGTGCGGCCCTGCCGGCAAGCCGGCGGCACTTCGGGCGGCTGCTCCAGGCTTTGCCAGCCCAGCCCGGGGCGCAAGGACAGCGCCGCCGCCGCGTCCGCTGCATCCGTGGAGGGTCGCGCCGCCGCCGGTTTCGCAGTCTATGAGCTGTGCCCGCGACGGGGGTGGCGGCGCCGTCGGCCCCGTCGGCTCCGTCGGCTGCGGCTTCGGCTCCGTCGGCTCCGGGGGCGTGCGCCCCTGCGGACGCTCCCCCCCCACTCTGCGCCAGACGCGGGGCCGGCGTCGGCGCGCCCGCCGCCCTCTCTTGAGGCCGACGCGGAGTCGGTCTCGAAGAAGACTGAGATCAGGGAGCCGGCGGCGGAGGCCGCGCGGGGCGCGCTCGCCCCGCCGCGAGGGCCTGCAGAAGAGGCCGCGGCCGCGCCAAGCTCTGCGCGGAGGCCGCGCAGGGCGCCCTCGCCCCGCCGCAAGGGCCTGCAGAAGATGCCGCGGCCCCGCCGGGCTCTGCCAGCAAGCTACGGTGCCGGCTCTGTCAGCAAGCATGTTGCACAACTTCACAGAGGCGTTCGCCGCCGAGGACTACGTCGAAGAAACTATCGATTGGGGTGGCCCCAACGATGCAGCAGAAGAAATTGACGGCTCCGAGAGCACCGCGGAGTTGCCGAGGACCTACAGGGGCCGGTCTCTGCCAGCACTGCAGCGGACATGCGCGCGGCTGCCGATCATGCTGCGGCGCGCGGGGGTGCGCTGCCGTGGCCCCTGCTGCCGGGGCGGCAGCCTCGGCGCGAGCAGAGTTCAGCAGATGCGCACCACCGTAGAGCGGGAGGTTGAATTGTGCGCTATCGTTGTTTCGCGGCATGCCCGAAGGACGTGGACGTCCAGGCGGCCCCGCAAGGCGCCGCGGGAGGGGGGGGGCGCGGGGCGGGGGGGGGGGGGGCGGCGAGGATTGGGGGGGAGGACAGGGGGGGCGGCAAAGAGGATCACGGTAAGGAGATGCCGCTGGTAGTTCTACTATAGTTGGTTTCGGACGGGCCGGGGGCGGGGGCAGCGGGGGGCAGGGGGCGGGGCGGGGCAGGGGGGGGGCAGAGGGGGTGAGTATGATGGCGAGGACGGGGAAGCACAGTGGGAGCTGGAAGGAGCAAGAGCGGGGGGAATGAGGGCGGGGGGCGCGCGCGAGGCATGCTGTCCAGAGCGTGTTTGGAGCTCTTCGAGTTCGGGGGCGGCAGAACCTGTCCGAGCTGGAGTGGTCGCCAGGCTCTGCCAGCGACGGCGATCAGGAGCGCCCGGTCGCTGCCAACAGGCGCAGCTCGTGGGCCGCGAATTTCGTGCGAGGCCGAGACCTGCTCCGCGGAGGGTCGCGCGCATTTGCTCGCGGGCCTGGTGAGGAAGCGCTCGGGCGAGCTCGTCGAGCTGGATCGCGGGCGATCGGGCCGGGGGCCGCGCGCTGCGGCGCCGAGCTCTGCCGGCGCCGCGCCCCCGCAGGGAAGCGACCAGCGGCTCTGCTGCGAGCGCGCCCGCGGGGAAAGTGGGCCCCGAATTCGTTCGCGAGATCGCGCTCCAAATAGATGGGCAGGTCTGGGGCGTGGCGTCTGGCGTCCGCGCCGAAGATCTCCGGCCGAGCCGCCGCGTTCGGGTTGCCCGCGCGCGCGCCCCGCGCCGCGTGGCCGCGGCCTCCGGGCGGCGCCGCGCCGGGGCGGCGGTCGTGATGGGGGAGCTCGCGCGTGCTCTTCGAAAGCACTTCGCGGGGAAGCAAGTGCGCTGCTGCTTCCGCGCGCTCCGAATCGTGGCCCTGGAGCGGGCCGAGGCCCCCAGGTCGCCGGGCCCTGGCAGCTGCGCCGGCGGCGCGGCGGGGGGCGGGCTCCAGGCGACGCGCGTGCGGGCGCACCTCGGCTTCAAAAAAAGACCCGCTCGCGAAGGAGCTCGCGGCCGCCGTTGGCGCTGAGGTGGAAGGCGCGCCGGCTTTCTTCCCTGAGGCCGTTCGCTGCGTCTATGCCCGCGGCCCGCGGGGCGCGCGCCCGCCGCGGCTGGAGCGCCAGGGAATGGCGCGTTGTCGAATTGCAAGAGGCCATGTTTCTTGACGTGGGGCGCCGATCTCTCGAGCACCGCTAGTTGTGGGTGAGCTCGTTCGCATCGCAGAGAGCATTGGCCTTCTGCTCAGTGGCGTCGTCGCGCGGCCGCAGCGCGCGCGGCCGCTGCCCCGGGGGGGGCGCGCGTGGCCGCGGCCTCCGCGTCGCGCATCTTCCAGGGAGGGGCGGGGCGCTAGGGGCACATGTGCCGCGAGTGCGCCAGAGCGGAGCGGCGGCGCGCCAGTCTCCGACAGCGCGCCTTCGCGGGTTCTGCTTCTGCGCTGTCTCGCCGCATTGGGGGGCGGCCAGGATTTTCCAGCGCGGGCGAAGCCCCCGGGCGCGGTCGCGCGCGCACCGCCGGACATGTGGGGCCGGGGCGCCCCCGAGGGCGGACGGCCCTCGGCGGCGCTAGGAAGCGGCCCGGACTTGCGGGAGCGCCACGGCGGAAGCCACGGGCGCTACGACAAAACCGACAGTGACCAGATACGGTGCCACTCAGCACCTTGTCGCGGCACGCTAGGGGACGAGTCCCAGAGGCAATGGGGTTGCGCCAGACCCTGGCGACGACGACGACGACGACGACGGGGATGATGATGATGCTGGGGTTGCTGGTGGTGATGGGGGTGACGGTGATCGCGGTGGTGGTGATGGCGGGCACGACGACGACGACGTCGACGCCGTCGGCCGCCTGCATCGCGGCGCCAAGCTCTGCTAGTGCTCCGAACGCGTGTCGGATTGCAGTGGGGCTGATTTTTCTCGAGCGCGCAGCCGTTAGGGCGCGCGCCAAAGTGAAGCTGGCATCGCGCTGTGGTGCAGCAGCACTCACAATTGTCACCAACAGTATATAGATAGAGAGGAGGATAGAGAGATAAAGAGTTAGATAGACGGGTGGACAGATAAACGAATGGATGGATATATATATATATATATATATATATATAGTTTCTAGATAGATGGTAGGGTAAATAAAGACACGGTAAATAGGTGTGTGTATATATATATATATATATATATATATATATATATATTGATGGGCCGCTGGGTAGATAGGTAGGCGCGCACCGGCAAGCGGCAGCCGACAACCGAAACAAAGGGTGGGCGGGCACAGAGTTGCCGCGTACTCTGCAACAGTCAAACAAATATCGCCAATATCCGCTCGCTGCAACGCAGTGCGGGGCAGGCAAATAAAAGCGACCTGTTATAAACTTGCGCAACGGCGCGCGCCAACGCAGTTAAGTGCGGACTGCGGCGCATGCCGCCGCCAAGTAGCGCGCGAACGAATAAATGCCGCGCCCTTGCGCCAATCATCCCCGCAATATATATATATATATATATATATATATATATATATATACTGATGAACTGCTTGAGGGATCGATTTGGTAGAGAGATAGATAGACTGATGGATGGATCGATAGATTAGGTTGGTATAGGCAAGCGGGAGTAGGTGGTATTAAATGTGTTTCGCGCATTCTTTGCTGCTTGTGGGCAGGGCTCCTTGCGCATCGACCCCCCCCACCCCCCGCCCTCCTCAGCGCCCGAAGCGTGGTCCTATCGGTATCAGTGCTGAGAAGTATGACGACGAGAAAGTCATGGGGTTGGGCTCAGAGTTGAGGACTTTTTCACCAGAGTGCGCCGAGACGCTGGAGGGGGGGCGCGGAAACGCGCCAACAAGTTCGACGCGCAAGTCTCCGGGTTCAAAACGTGAACATTATGTTCCCAGCGGTTCCGGCTTGGCGTGGCTATTCATGCGGTTGATTGGTTCGTCGCCAGCCCGGGAAACCGGGGCCCTCGCCGCCGGCCAGAACAAACGCGAGCTCAGACAACCGCGGAAGCAAGTTAAGCGATCTGGAACGTCCAAGGTGCCAAGAGAGTAGACATATACAAATTAATGATACCGACGCATTATGGACCGCCATCCAGCCCTCTGGACAGACCTCGACGATGGGGGCCGCAGATGGCGAACGAGCAAAGAGAAAGGCACCCACGACGCGCTCGTGGTAGATGGAGATGACGAGGACCAACCCCAGGGGCCGACGGAAAGAGAGATGGAGGCCGACGCGGATCCCGTAGTCATTTTGGCACAAGGCATTTGCGCAAGCCCCCCGCCCCTGGACCTCGCCCTCGGCGCGCCCCACGACCCCAGCCCTGCGGGGCAACGCGGCGGGCGCCAGGGGCGGGGAGGGGGGCGGCGCTTTCGGCTCGCGGGCAGCGGCGCGGGATGACGCGAGCGACGCGCGTCGTAGTTCTGCTTCTTCGCGGAAGGCCTGGCGCGACCGGGCCCGCTTGTCTGTTGATCGAGCAAGCCGGCATATTCTGGGCGAGCTCGGCCGCTGCCGTCGGACGCGCCGCGCATTCTTCGACTCGGCGGCCGCTCCCTTTGGGGGCCCATTCCTTGCTGACAGGATCGCGGCCGCGGCGCCTGCGTTGGCCGAGCTGTTGCATGGTGGCCTGCCCGAGCTTTCCGCACCGCGGCGCGGGGGCGCCGCCCTGCGCGCCTCGGCCCAAGGGGCTTCGGTCCCCACCGCGTCGGGAAGGAGCCTGGGGCCCCGCAAAAGAGCGCCGGGCTGCCGACCGGCAAGAACGCCGAGGCCGCGGGGAAGATGGGCCCAGAGGCCCGCCCTATTACAACGCGCCCTCAAGGGGCTTGGGAAGTCCCACCTGGCCCCGCCGTCCTCCTTCCTAGGCTCAGCCAGGGAGCTGGGCTCGCGGAGGAGGCCCCGTCTCCCCGCAGGGATGGGCAGCGCATTGCCAGTGGCCCAGGTCTGGGGGGCAGTCCAAGGCGCAGGAAGAAGACGAAGCGGAATGCCGAGGACCGAGGGGCAGCAAGAGCTATGGAGCCAGGGCCGCCCAGGCAGAGCTGCTCGCCCAGTCGCGCGGCGCCGCGCGCGGCTGGAATCTTGGTGCAACAGAGCGGCGATGTCTTCAGCTGCTGATACTTTCGCCGTTCTGGCAGAGACGGCGTGGGGGGCCTCTATCAGCTCGGCAGTGGGCATGGCTGGAGTCTCCATGCGCGAAAATGGGGGGCATGCCGGCAGATGCCGGGTCTGTGATCGCGGCATATTTGCCAACGCGATGCGTGGAAGGGCCCGCGCGTGGATTGCATGTAGATTACTGGCGCAAGGATGTGATCGCTTTGGCCGCTTCTTGTTCTGCGTGCCCTTATGCGCGGGTTGCCTGTGCGAGACCCATGCGCGCTGTCAGGCGCTTGGCGGGGGGGGAGGTTTGCGCGCGTCGTCTTCTCAGTGTTTGTCCGCTCTCGCGCCTTGTATGCGTTTGAGTTCGACGTGGACCCGCGAGCCCGATGCCGATGCGGAAGTACTCACGATGGAGAAGATGCTCGCC